ATTGAAACATGCCCTATGAGCAAAACCCTTTGAGTATAATGATGGTAACTACTCTATGCATAAATAAATGCCATCATGCATTCACACATTGACAGTTCAGTTCGTCTAGATTCACACATACTACATTTGCAACCCATGGTGCCACACACAGTTGGAATAATTAAAATGCTGAGTCAAAAACAAGAAGAAATAATTTTCTGCCCTTACTATTGCACATAATTTATGTGCTTTATTTAAAGAACAAACTGGGATAGATAATTACTTTTATTTATTCTGAATTTCAGGGGAACTGGCAGCTATTACAGAGGATGTGTTAAACCACCTGAAAGATTTATCAGTACCCAACTGTCAGGGGGACTCAGGGCACTATATCAAAAGCTTGAAGAAAAAAAAACAAGGCTTGTGTAAGGAAGAAACTCTACTGCTCAGAGCGGCTACAATACCAAAAGGTTTAGTATGATTCTACAGTGCTGCCAATTTCACTGCCACTCTCCTAAGTTCTACTGAGTAAACAGGGAGATTCACTATCAGCTAACTCATCCACTGGGTGTATTTTGGTACATATTACTTGTACAACTCTTTACACTTATTTGAAAGGAGGCAAACAATAAGAAAAGTATTTGAATTTGCAAATGAGTCAAACCTCTCGTTAGAAGATTAGGAAAAAATCCTTTCTGTCATTGGGGGAAATCAAGTGGGGAATATTTCTTGCATACTGTTCAGAAACCAGACAAGTCATGTTTCAATCTTATCTGAAAGGATAAGTGGATGATAGATTTTTTATTTTTTGATTTTGAACATGAGGACAGTTGATTACTACTGCATGTCAGCCTATGACTCTGCAGCCTGGTTTTAATTTGTTTTATGTAAAAATCAACACAGGGGTACCAGAATGTGTCACACACTAACTGCAATGGTATTTTGATTATTTTTTTCTTTTTTGCTCCAGTATTAGCATCACAGACTGGCAAAGATGGCAAATTCATGCCTTGTTACCCAGGTAACTTCTCTGTTCCAGTTCAGTGGCTGCATCAATCACACTGAAGATTTACAATCATTATAAAAAAAGCATGTTTCCATAAAGCTACAGTTATCTTGTGAATTCACACAGCATGGCTACATGTTGTCTGTCTTCAGTTGATACCACTAAAAATTAAAAAACAGTAAATCAAAAAAAAGGTTTTTTAGCATGTGTAGCTTGGACTAAAGAAATGTGACACAAAAATAAATTTTTATTGCAAAATTTATGAAAAGAATACATTTTTTTTTCAATTTTAATTGCTATTGATTTCTTCTTTACAATTTTCTTTCTGGTAGTTCCATTACTTGCTGGAAGATATAAATTTATTCAAGTTATTGTTAAAGGGGAATCATCACTCTTGATCTCGGCAGAGGTAAGGTATACAAAATGTATACATGTAAATGTATAAATGTATACAGACTGGAAATGATGGTTTTTGTAATTAATAGAAAATACCAGTATCTCCTGTTATACCTGTCAACTTTACATTTATGTGAATTTTTTTCCCAAGAGTGTTACATCATTTTTGAAGTACCTATTAATTACTTTCAGCATATGGTTAAAAACTTGCCACTGAACCCTTTAACTCCCAGAAGTGATCAAAAAGTAACTTCTTCCCTTAATATCTATATATTATATAGCAAACAGGTAATGAGATACTCAAACTGATCAGGAAGAAGTTGTTGTCTTGATCTAACACCAAAGAAAAGGTGCAGCAGCTAGTGGGGAGAATTAACAATCTATAAAATGGGAAAAGACATTCAAAGGTGTTTGAAATGCAATTCAGAGGTGTATGATATGTTTCAAGATAACCTCTTTCATAACTGCAAAGGTCCATTCCTTCTAGAAACAGACCAAAACATTTGAAACCTAAGGGCCTGTGCTGCTTAATTCCATTCTCAGCCTCTATTATAAAGAATAGTTTCCTCTCTGGTTATGGAACTTATTTTGTGATTGGACCAAAACTGATCAGTTCACTCTGCATGCATGTATATTCACCAGAGCTTATATTCATCATAATTTTCTTTGTAAAGGATACCTACCATTTTGAAAAGAAGCAAGTTGCTATAAAGATAATGAATTTGGATTATTCCAGACTTGGAGCTCAGGTACACTGTATCTGTCTATAGAGTTTAATATGCATACAGCTGTAAGTGATAAGGTATGTTTCAGATAAGCAAGCTACAAATGAATCTGTTATATGCAGATCTGAGAGTGCTGCTGAAACTGTAACTACTGAAAAGAGCTTGCATGCAACCATGTGTACTTTGACATGAGGTGTACATTGTCAGTGGAAACTGCACAAGATGTAGAGTACATCTACATGCAAAGATCTTTGAGCTGATTTTCTACAAGGTAAATTATTTTAACTTACTATGCACTTTGTATTGCACGAGTTTACTTATTTACAAAACTGTTGCAGGAGGCAGATTGCATTCAACAGCTCAACAAAGCTGATCCTCTCCGTGTTTCCAGAGCTGTCCAATTGTTTGTAAGTCATGAATGTACAATCCTTTTTGAGTACTGAATCAAATGAAACAAAATATCTGCATGTTGTTAAATAGGACTGATTTTATACAGTCACTGTAAGTATCACTCCACCTTTTTGATACCATATGAAAAATCATGAAAAGAGAACAAACTGACCCTACTGAAGGACAAAAATGATGTAAACTCAATGGTATTAAACACCACTGGCCTTAACTGACAAGGCAATTCAACCAATGACCTTGGATTGAGAATGGTGAATGCTTTGCCTTTGACATCCATCAACTTGAAAGAGTGGTGCAAACTAGGTTTTTTGCATGTCAACAATTAATTGGCAGTATCAAACATGCATGAAAATTATCATAATTTACTTGTATGCAGTTACAGCTTTTCTTGTAAAACACTGCAGCTTTAATATAATGATTTCCAATTGGTTCTTTGTTTTACAATAATTGTAACATAGCACTGATATATTTGGTACATGAGTACAAGAATGTAGAGGACCACAGTTCACTGACCTTGCATTTTTGCCAATTTGACATATTTGCTTGTGGATTTTTAGAATGTTTTCAGTTTTGAGGGTCATTACTGCTTGGTTTTTGAGCTGTTGAGACCTCAACCACTCCATCAATGCTTTCAGGTTGGTTGAATTATAAACAGTGTAATTTAGTATTATCAACTGAGTTGATAATGTAACTTGGGCTCTGTTAAGAGTTTCAAAGCTGATGTTTCAAGCATTAGCCCTCTGTCAAAGGGAATGGTGAAGGGCTAACATTCGAAACATCAGCTTTGAAACTCTTAATGGTGGCTAATTTACGTTATCAACTCAGTTAATAATACCAAATTACCTTGTTATACTCTCCCACTGATACAGTGCCATGGTTTGCTTTAGAAATTTACTGGCTTTATTGAATTATAAACATGCTGTTAAGGAATCCAAGAGCTTTCCCTTTAAATCAATTGTTGTACTTTGTAGTTGTATCTCTACTGATGTAGTATTATATTTTCAATCATCTTCTTTAGAGAAATGTCAGTTTGATAACGAGGTAAGAGTGTTTAATGTATTACCATCTGTACATTGTATGTTTTCATTGTTAAATTGATTGTCATCTTTATTAACAACATGATTGATTTAATGTACATATTTTTGGCAAGATCATCATCTAACCATGTACATTCTGTAATATCAGTCACTCAACAGTGTTTTCTTGATTTTGTTTACTAACAGGATGAAAAACTGAAAGTTATCAGGAAAATAACTTTTCAAGTGAGCAAACCTTTTTTTAAACTCTTATAACTACTTTCGATTTAAGTTATTTCAAATAAAATTGCATCAGTTTTCTTTTGTCAGCTATAAGAACTTACAAAGACCATTTTAAAGTTAGCTCTAATGAAGATGAAACTTGTTGTACGTCAAATTTATTGAAATCAAAATAATAGTTTTTTATATAATAAATTTATGTGGTTATTTGTTTGTAGCTCTTACAAGCTCTTGGATTCCTAAGGAGGTAAGATTATTAATAGGTGTTCTTTTTAGACTCTCTAGAACTACTCATTTGTACCCACAAGTGGCTTCATTTTATTTCATTGTCAAGGGACTCTTCTCTTGCCCATCTTTTGGTGATGCCTCCATGTTGTTACAGGTTGGAAGTGGGATGTTTATTCTGCATTTTGGCAAATAAAAGGGGATCTTTTTCAAAGGGGGGTGCTCATTTGAGAGGAGGGACTGATTTCAGGATTTTACGTGCTTTGATCTCATTCAACTTTCCATGTGAATCCACAGACAGAATGTCATCCATGCTGACTAGAAACCAGAGAACATTCTTTTTGAAGAAGGTGAAGTGGGGTGTTTGCAACAAATTGTTAAAAAATTTGATTTAACTTAATGGACTTAAAAAGTCTTCCTTTTTAAAGATAGTTGTAATATTTTGATCTGGTTAAATATAAATAACAGCTGTAGCATTTTGTAAGAAAAACAGACCAACATTTTATACAGATTCTGAAGATACATAATACAGTGGTCAGTGAAAGACTACTTTGATGAATACTCAGAGTTCATATCAGCTACAATTATTTGCCTAACAAAAAATATCATGAATATACTATCCCATTTTTGTTTCTGTCATCATGTATATATGTCATCATGATGGTGCCTGGATGTCTTGTATAGGGCCCCATGTCTTAGTTGCAAACATTTTGATGCATGAGAGCAGTAGGCTCAGAATTTATGGACTAAACCTTTCATGGACGTAGCCTTTTTTACATTTCTGACAGCCAACCTCCATTGAGAGATCTGGTTGTTAATACAATAATAAAACAACTTTTTTCGTATATGTAACAATTTTAGTCACAGACCTGAAGGTGAACAGTGGTGGATATTTACCTCACTGCTTCGCAGCTTGGTGAAAACACCACTTTCACTGACACTGACAGAAGTGAATAAATTTGTTAGTATATACCACATAGATACCAAAAAATTAGTTTATTTCTTTCAATATACCAAAAACTGGTCAGAAATCAAACTCTTAACATGTGATTTTGTCTCATAGGCTGCATGGAGGTGAATAGTACTTGGTATTCACTAAATGGAACCAGCCAATCAGCACATGCAAAAAGCACTATTTACTTGTTTGGTGTGTACTAAAATTGTATATTATATTAACACACTGTAGGTGACGAAACCAAGATAAAAGTTGTTGACTTTGGAAATGCAATTCACTGGGTTCATAGAGAGGTACATGTAATTTCTATTATTTGGTGATTTTAGTGACTTAATTTTAAATGTGTGCAGCTAGATGCATCAGAATTGTTGTACTGCAGACTTTATTAACCCTTTACACCCTAACATCAATATGCATATTCTCTATACTGGGCTCATACATTTGCTGAAGCACTGACAAGGAGAATTTGTGTAAAAATCAAGAGCTTTGTAAGTTGGTGATCATTTCCTTGATTCTCGTGATCCTAATGTGTGATTCAGGGGTGATATTGTAAGGAGTCAGTCTTAGGGGTAAAAGGGTTAAAAGATCCTATTCAAAGTATAATGAAAGGCAAATTCTTTACAGAGGACAAGGACTCATACCAGCTGTGAAAAACTGTTTACAGAGAATTGTTTACTATGTGTTTACCCCTTTAACATGTAACTTCTCCCTAGAATATCCATACCTTATCCAACAAACAGTTAATGAGAATACACAAACTTATCAGGTAGAAGTTCTTATCTTGATCTAGTATCAGATTCTCAAAAGTAATTTATAAGAAAATGTGGGGCAGCTAAAGGAGAGAAGCTACAGCCATTTTGATCACCGTGACAAGTGAATATATATTTGGCTGCTAAAATGTTGGCAAAAGTCACCAATTGGTGACAAACAGATAAAAAAAACAGAAAAAAGAAAAAAGAGGCAGCCAAAAATTTTTAAATGGTGACCATTTTACATTTGAAGGTTGCCAGAAGGCAACTCTTTGGAAAAATGAGCTTGGAGCCCTGTCAGCCACCATTAGCAATGAAATTTAATAATTATGCAAAATATGTAATTTAATTCTTACTTTCTTCTGTTTAATTCTGTCGGGTTTCCTTGTATTATGATGAGTTTGAACTACAAACTTTACTCTACAGAGCTCCTGAGTTAAAGTAAAGATATTGCTGTTTTCATGAATTTGGAGACAAATTTTACATGTAGGTTACAAGCATGCAACTTCAGTGTTTTCCAAATCAATCCAAGGAAAATAAAACTAGATTAAACTATTTTATTTGGAATTGCATGAATTGGAGCACTCTCTGAAAGATGATCAGTGAAGTTCTGCCATTTTGTGTTTTATAAAACAACTTAATGCAGCTGGCCTGTTGCAGATGGAAAATTCTGTTCTATGGTGTATCATTTCAAGAAACATATCGGAAAAAAATATTTCAATTCACACAATCATTTTTACCATGATTGTATGTCAGGTGCAAATAAAAGGGGGATGTACATATTAGGACCATTTTTAAGTGGTTGTTGGAAACTTGAATTTTAAAGTTCAGTCTATGGAAGAAGGTCCCACTAAATGTTGTTCAATGCAATGAGGTACAGTGTCTCCCACTTGATAACTTTGATGGCAGTCAGTTGAAACTGAAAGCTCTGTGTTAATTCTTTCCAGGTAATGTTTGGTGTTCCTTTTGGCCCTAAGATTGACATTTGGTCTCTGGGATGCATTGTAGCTGAGGTAAATGGTTAATTGACTAAGTGTATGTTCTCACCATAATTAAAAAATCGTTAATGAATATTATGCTATCAGTCAGAGCTAATAACAGATGATACTTGGCAGTTTTACAATGGATATTTCTCTGTATTTCTCTCACCCAGCCATTAATGTTACTGGTCACCAGGAAATGAAATAATGTCCTTTTAATATGAACATTGGTTTCAGTTGTATATAGGCAAACCTTTATTTCTGGGAGGAAATAGGACTAAAGTGTTGCAAGAGGTATGTTTTTGTTTTGTTTTTTTTTATTATTGGCACTTTTACAAGCTGTTTATGACCTAAGGTAACTAATACACTAATAAGAATGCAGTAACTGCCTTTCTGGCTACACTTTATTTAGACTTCCTCTATTTTGGGGAAGTGTGAATACAAACAAAATTGCAATTAGCTTGCAATTCTTGACCTTCTGGGTACTGTACTTTATAAGTTTAATCAATTTTTTTCCAATTCTTTTTCATGCTTGGTTGCAGGTAACCAGTATTCTTGGTCCCTGGAGTCCATTCCATACTGGAAAATTTTTTGAAGATTTGTCTCAGTTTAAATGTCACCACAACTCAGGTAAATTCAAGTTTAAGATGATTCAAATGTATCAAGTTATCTCAAACTTTTTTGGTAATCCTGACCTAGTCCTCAACATCATTTAAATGGTCTCTGCAAATATTTTATAAATCCAGGTACACAACTTAAATAAACAATTGATATAACCCTTTAACTCCTAAGAGTGACTAACATCCAATTTCTCCACACAGCATCAGCCCTGAATCAAACATCAAGGTCATGAGAATAAAGGAAATGATCACCAACTAAAGACACTCTCGATTGTTAAACAAATTCTCCTTGTCAGCACCCTAGGAAATGTATAAAGAACAGTATGGAGAATATGCATACTGATGTAAGGGAGGAAAGGGTTAAGACACAATTACAAAATAGCAAAAGACAATTTATCCTTTGTATGAGGGAGGAACCATTGGAAAGAGAGCGATGCTTAGAGGTGGTTCAATGAGATGCCTAGAAAAAAAGTATCCTTTCATTTACCTTTCCAAATATTTCTGCCCCTAAAAAATGAATGGTCAAAAATATCCATAAATAAAATAGCAAGTAATTTAGTGTTAACAACTGGGTTGAAAACGTAAATTAGCCACCGTAAAGGGTAAAAAAGCTGACGTTTCGAGCGTTAGCCCTTCGTCAGAGCGATTAGAGGAATTGTGGGTTGTGTGTGGGTTTATATGCAGAAAGTGGAGCTACGCCATTGATGGGAATATGGTGACGAGAAAACAGGAATAAATTAGTTTAATTTATTCTATTTAGTCTTGCAGATGTGTGGGGGACCGACCAGCGCTTTGCCAAGAAAATCGGAGAAAGAACGCTGTTTGTCACTCATGGGGAAAGTTGCTCCAAGATAAGCGTTGATGCTCTAGGTAGCATTTCCTTCAGTATTGTGCTTGAACTCTGCAGCAACCAAGAAGAGGCAGATACTCGAATGTTTCTGCATGCCTTGCATTCCTCTGATGCGGCTCATCAACAGATCTTAATCAAGTCATCGGGCACCGATGTAGAAGTATTGGCGTGCAACTTTCGAGAGTACATAAGTGCTGACATCTTTCTTCTCTATGGCACAAGAAGTCGAGCTCGTGTCATCAATGTCACCTAGGTCTGTGAGCAGCTAGGTGTCGAGGTGTATCAGGCATTACCAGAGCTACACGTACTCACTGGGTGCGACACAGTAAGCTCTTTTGCTGGAAAAGGGAAAAGGCGGCTCTTGATGTCGTGAAAGCTGACGAAAACAGCAGAGCAAGTATCCATAGAATCGGCGAGTGTGTCCCACCAATCAGAGAAGATCTTGGAAAAATGGAGAAGTTCGTTTGTTCACTTTACAATGATTTTAGTTGTTGTATAGTCAACGATACGAGATACAAGTTATTCTGCAAAATCCAGAATCTACAGTCGTACCAGCTTCCTCCCACCCATGCTGCCCCATAGAAGCATCTACAACGCGCAAACTACCAAGCTTATGTTTGGAAACATGCATTGGATGCAAGAATTCTAAACCAAGGACCAGATGGTCAAGGATGGTGAGTTAGAGGAGAGGCGCTGGAGATCGACTGGACCGACCTCGCGCCGGCCCTGGAATCTGTAATGGAGCTAGTGTGCTGTGGCTGCAGAGGAAAGTGTGAAACCCGTAGGTGCTCTTGCGTCAAGAACGAACTCCACTGCACAGAGGCATGTTCCTGTGGGGAAGAATGTGTCAACTGTGACAACAGTTAATTCAGCGATGATGAGGACGACTCCACCAGTAGTGAGGAAGAAGATGACCTGTAAAAGTTATCTCATGATATACCGTATTGCGGTTGTGACAAATTTCTCGAAAAGTTTCTTGAAATATAACGTCAATACAGATTAGGTACGAAGAACGTTGCAAGCGTTGCTATGGAAACATACAATGCCACTGGCATTGCTATATTAGTTAGTAGTAGGCATTGCTTTATAATGTATAATGATAAACTTTCCATTGCTCAATAAAGTGAGATGCATTGCTCAATAAGGAGAGGATTGTTTTTCCTTTTTGTATTTGCTTGGCTTTTACCAGGTGTGGCCCCAATTCCAGAGGAATGCCACTCATCCTTGCTTTCCTGCCATAGCCATTTTCCAGACATTGATGCATCTTTGGGACATCTTCAATAGAATTAAGGTGTCTCAGAGCAAACGCTCTTACTGTAGAATACTTTTATGGGTGTTTTCTCGAGTTAAATATATAAAATTTCATTTTTTATTCGAAAAACCACACATTTTCATATCCGAGCAGTATTTGACTGGTGCCTGTTGCCATGGAAACCAAAAACCTTAGGTGCGATAACACATTTGGGTAGCTTATGATACAACAACTATATCTTGCAAATTTGAACCAATTTGGTTGATGTTTGTTAGAGGTATGGACCATTTATCTTATCACCACGTCTATAGTAAGCAAACTCTCCTCACCCCATCCCCCATGGAAACAGCCCAATATCTCATTACAGCGCTCGTTACCGATTTGAAAACAGGTAGATTCTAAAAATATAGGTCATAAGCTTTAATTTGATACCAAATTCACTATGTCCCATGGGGGGTGCTACGAGGCATAACTTTTAGGCCCCTTGGCTTATGGACTATTCGGAAATTTATTGCCTCAACAAGGAGATAAGAACACAGGTTTGTTCTTGCCTTCCATTGAACTACATAAATGAAAATTAGCTCTATGCCGTCGCCATGAAATGAACTTCTGACCAAGAAATTTACTTTTTACATAGGAATCACCTTTTTTTACAGTTTCTAGTACTTCGTCGTTTTTGTAGTGACGACTCTGATTTTTCCGAAAAATCAGAAAACCTGGTTAAAATTTCCAGAAATATTAACTCGGTGGAAGTTGGTTAAGATGAAACAACGGGGATAAATTTTTGATCGGCCGCTCTGAAATGGGCTATGAAGTGGGTGAACTTCCGATGCGCACTACGCAAATTTCCAAGGCAGTTCTTCCGACCGTGATGTTGATTTTGCGTAGATGTCAGAGATTTCGCCCCCGCTACACAACCGAACACACAAAATAACGCTTGGAGGCATGGGCGCGTCGGTCAGCTAGGCCCTTGATACGTTTTATTAACTCACGTGTAAAACTCCACCGTCTTCTCGGATAGGACGTAAAACCGTAGGTCCTGTCTCCTGCAGGGTTAGGGGTAGGAGACGTTAATTTTCCACGCACGAGATTACTGTGTGGTGGATGTCCTCCCCTGGGGTGGGATGGGTGGGAAGGTGAGATCGTTACATGGACTGAAGCGGCTGCCAGAGGCGCCTGATAAAATGCTGACAACTATTGGAATAATAGGGACCGTGTAACCCCAACCCATGCCATGGCGTCGCCTTTGGGGTTATAAGGCAAAACTAATGAAAACTAAGGCTAACAGAGTTAGTGAAAACTAAACTAAACAGCGCAAGATGACGCGGTGAGGCCGACCGTAGAATGACACGCATAACTAACCGGTCACTATTTCAAACCCCCTTACCGCGCTCCCACGCGCGCTACACTAGAACCCAGTTCACCGTTCCGTACCGGCAAAATAATCATTTATGTTAATTCTTATTTACACAAATTACATTATTCTTCATCGCTGTCGATTAAATCGTCCCTGATATTGGGTCTTTCCGATAAATCAGCGATAGCTTGAGGAAAGCACTAATCCTGCCATGCGTGGCTTTTGTGGAGAGCCCTTTCGTATAATCATCGAGTCCTTTCAAGCACTCAGCCGTATTCTGTCACTATTTATGTTTATGACTCTCGCTTCTGAGCGGCTGTTTACCGATAGAGAATTATGTGGAAAGCTGATTGTTGCGCTTAAATAAGGTATCTTGTTGTGGCTATTGTTTACTAGACGCCATGTTCATAAGCATATGCACTTGTTTGTGCTACGTAAAACAACATTCCCCACACACACCGCGATGACTGAAACATTTTGCGACAAGAACAATACACGGCACTGGTAAGAGACCACTAACCTGAGTTTAACTACGCAGAAAGGTAGTTTAACATTAACCAAACTCGGTTATAAAATTTAGTGTTCTTCAGTGAATTTCTATGGTTACTGTTAACCCAGTTTCAGTTCGATAAAACGCCAAAAAAGCGGCCTCATCACGATTTTTCGGTAAAACCGGTTAACTTCAATTGACAGATTAGAAATAACCCGGTTAACTCGCTATTAAGTGTTATCTCTTTTATATTTTTTTGTTCAAAATACACAGAATTTTGAGTTTTTTCGTTTTTGTGTTATGAACTTGTTTATTGCCACAACACAGCGGGCAGCGCAGTGAATGAAGCAAGACTTGTTTCATCCGGCATCTCCCTGGAAGGTGTAGGGCAGTTAATTGTAAGTTTGATTAAGGTATTAGGAAAACCTTTATAAATCAAAATAAATTCAAATACCTCTGTTGTGTTATTTCTAGATGCTGGAAGCTGCGCAGACATTTTGTTTCCTACTGAGTATAACTTCAAACCATACGTTGACGAGGAAGTTAAAAGGCAGCATTTTTCTGGAACTGAACTCTTAAAGAAGGGAACTACTGTAACTGCTTCTTCACCAAACCACTTTCAGAGCAAACCGGAGAATGCAACATCTCTGAGGACTGGAAATCTACATTGTTCTCAAACAGAAAAGGTGACAATTAATGAGGAATCTCATCGGGAAGACCAGTTGCCTCTAGAAAATTTCAGTTATGCCATGGAAGGTCCTCTTGCCACAGGATACCCTAAATCAACTCACCAACAGAACGAGACGTGTGCCGTTTTTAAAAGTAATGCATGCACTGATGATATAGAAGAAGAACGTAAACAGGTCACGGACAGGCTCACCTCTACTTTCCTGACGGCGACAAATCTTTCTTTGGGAACAATTTCTGAAAAAAAAGTAAAGTGTCATGAGAAGGATTCAGTTTGTCAGCAGGAACCAATATTACTTGTCCTGATAATGCGTTCGAAAGACCTTCAGCGAGACTCGTAAATAACAAAAGCTCCTGCTCTAAGCGCAAAAGCGATGTCTTTAAAGACACTTATTTAGAAGACGGAAGCCGCCAAAAGTCTCTTGAACTTTCTTCATATGGGGTCAAGAACTTTAGAAGCACAAACTTACTCGAGCATCACAACAGATTTAATATTCCTGGAAAACTAGGATTTTATGTGGGCAATTCTTCCTCTGGTGGAGAGACAAATGCTTCCGCAAGAACTCGTGTCTATCATAGGAAAACAAAATCTATCAAAGCAGAGATTGGGTATACTAAACGTGATGGTCTTGCTGCAGTCCAAACGGAGCAAATTGTAAATGAATCTCCGTGTTGGGCGGCAAAAGCAACTGTAACAGATGTAAATCTTCGAGCGAATTTGAGAGCGGGAAAGGTTCGTGACGTGTATACGCATTTTGTGGGTGTCTTTTTCTAAATGCGCCTGCGTTTATTTGGAAGAGATTTCCGGTTGATGTCCATGCTCCTTAATTTGGCAGTTGATCTACTTTTTCATGTATCAATTAATGACATGTAGCTAGGTTGTGGCGACCAGTCAATCAGTTAGGCAGGCAGGTAGGCAGTTGAGTTACATTTTCATGTACCAACCAATCACATGTAGCTTGTTAGTGGAGACTAGTCAGTAGCTCAATCATTCAGGCAGAGAGGCAGGCACGCAGCTGGCCAGGCAGTAAAATTTTCGGCAAGACAGTCAAGCAAGCAGTCAACTGGCTAGCCAGTTGTTCAGTACTTCACTCACGCAGGTATGTTTGAGTTGAACGGTCAGACAGTCAATGTGTCAGCTATTCACTCAGTCAGTCAATCAATTAGTTTTTCAGTCAATAATCGAACTAGTTCTGCGTACAGTGATGTATCTGATCAGGTATTTTCAGGGTGTTTAGTGCGTAGATTGTCAGATAAATCCCCGTCCGACAGGAAATTGGTGCCCACGAATCGCTGTAGAACGTGAGGAAGCCTGAAATTTCGGACATTGAGTCGAGCTTGCAGCACATGTGTCCGAACTTCGGCTTTGGAAATTTTTCTTAAATAACTTCCCACTTTCAAGAAGCGTGTCTTCGCTCAAAATTGACATCTTTCTTTTGTTATTTATTTGATCGTTTATTAAGCAAGTTGTCATTTCGCTGCCGTGGAAGCAGATGCGAAGAATGTTACAAAAGGCGTTGCGGCATGGAATAATTGAACTAGTTCTGCGTACAGTGATGTATCTGATCAGGTATTTTCAGGGTTTTTAGTGCGTAGATTGTCAGATAAATCCCCGTCCGACAGGAAATTAGTGCCCACGAATCGCTGTAGAACGTGAGGAAGCCTTAATTCCTGCACGTAATTACGTATCCTTAGCTGATTAATGTACCGATTTTTTTAACCTTAAGTAACGCAAATGGGAAATTCTGCGAAACTCAGAACAACCTACAAGAAGAGTTAAACTTAAGAATGGCAGATCACAAAAGTAAAGCTGATTTCAACGCAATGAGTGTGGCAGAGCTTAAAAAATATCTACAAGAACGAGGGATTTCAGCGAGCGGATACTTGAAAACCTCGTCAGTGGAAATCACCACCGCAGTCGAAAAAATGGTTCTGCCAGTGGATCCAAATTTCGAAAAGGCGACGTCCCTGCTTTAGGCGAATTAATAATTCATGATATGCTTATACCCTAAAGACTGTTAACAATTTTAACGCGTCGCCGCCGTTTGAATTTTACGACATTTTTAATTATTTGAATTGCTCTCCTGAACTCATTACTGGCTCTACGCTCAGATCTAAAAGGGCTTTAACTGCTGCGTATTCCTCTATCGATTTACCAGTTTGACGATCAAGTGCCAGAAGGGTTTTTGCTACTGATCGTTCAAGGCAAACTTTCATGCACCTCTCTTTGTCTGCTTCTCGTTCGCAAGATGCCTTTAAATTACGAGTCGCGACACCTAGGCATGGTGATATAAAAGAATGATTGAATTAACTTACCCTTTCTTTACTAGCTACAGCAGATATGGGATCAGGATCCTCTTCTGTTGGACCATTTCCACCGACGAAATGTAGACTACAAACGTAGCTGTCCTTCGTGCACACAAACGAGTCACCTCGATGACATAACCTTCTCCACCTCTGCCTTCTCTCCTTTTGTCTAACTGCCCCCGGAAAATGGAAAAACTTGACTAGGTCGCCGTTAGCGTTTCTTACCCAGGTGTTGAAGTATCGTGAATCGTTTTTCAGGTGCCATAAGCTCATCTCTTTGTCGTAACCATTATGTTTAGGTATACACTTACTAAACAACTGCAATCGTACACGTTCGTAGAGTTAAAATCGGTTTTATTTTTGGGAATCAAGGCCTCCTCACGTTCTACAGCGATTCGTGAGCACCAATTTCCTGTCGGACGGGGATTTATCTGACAATCTACGCACTAAACACCCTGAAAATACCTAATCAGATACATCACTGTACGCAGAACAGTAAGCAATGTCCGAACTTTCATGGTTTGTTTACATCAAAAGTCACGTGATACTACACGTGAAATCTAAAGCCCAAAAGGTGAATTCTCTCTGTTGGCTCGAAACGTCAGCTTTGGAACTCTCTGCGGTGGCCAATTTACGTCATCAACGCAGTTGATAATACTAGAGTATTTCGTAGCTGTAGTTTACTTTTAGCGGGGAGTAAAGAAGTTCTGATTTTCAACCATTTTTTTTGCCTTATTTCATTCCTTTTGCCCCAAGAAACAAGGCAACTAATCTTTCCTACCCTCATTAAAGTCTGGTTCCTTATAATCCCTCAGATCATCTCAGTTTCCCGAGTGACTATGACATAATTACAATCAAGACATTGAGAACATCGTCATTATAGAAAACCAACATCTTCTGCAACTCTTAGGCGATTGAAAATATTGAGACATTGCTTCTTTCGAGCGCCATATGTCTGAATTTTGAAATAACTTTTTCAAAGCATTTTCTCTTTTTCTGTTTGTTTTTTAATGGTTTTTTTTTGTATTTTATCGTAGGAGGTGATGTTACTTGGTGAGGATGGACAAAGGAGTTTCTGATATTTTTAGCTTTGTGATTTGATACCTGTAAGAGTATAAAAATATAGTAAAAGATTTTTAAAAGTAGATTTAAAGTGACTGTGGATTTTGTGGTGGGGTTCTTCATAGTACGTCATGTGCTATTGGGCTCTTAATTCAGATGTATGTGAAATATTCGTCTAACTATGCGCAGATCAATCGTCACGGCATTAATTACTTTCAGAACATTACGGCGGCGTGTTAAAGGATTCGCTTTCCATTGAGGAAAGGGACAAAGTGAAAGGAATTGGGATGAAGACCAGCAAGTATGTTTTTCTATGGTCAAAAAAGACAGTGGTCGTTCATTCCTTTCTTATGCTCCATCGCAAGAACTGCATTTTTGTTCTCTAGAACAGTTGCTGCAACTTTTTCCTTGTCTTCCAAACTGAGAACACCAGTCAAAAAATTAGCCGACAGGGTTTCTGGTATCAAATAATCTTATTCCGAAATGAAACCACTAAACACATCGAAAACAACTAACATAATGCTAATTAAGTCAAAATACTGATCTACTTGTACCCGACTTGACTTTCGTTATGATACATTACGAAGGTCTACTAAGAACAGATTGCAAGAGAGATCATTAACTCGTGGTTTTGGTTTTCAGCGATAAAACAAATATTTCACATCTTTCTGTTTTTTCTCAGGTTCAATGTTCGATAGCCCATGTCCTCCTAAATTGGCTGGCTATTTCTCATTTTCATCCTTTAAATAACGCTCTACAGTGGGCCGTAACTTTTCCTAGCTTCTCACACATTTCTCCACTTTGAAACAAGTAATCACGCTTTGATTCAATTAGAGGGTGAATTGCCTTAGAGATGCACTCGACTCTCCCAAACATTAGGCGCATAAATTTCCTCGAGGACTTGATACAGAATGTCATGAATCCTTAAATGGGCTTCATCTGGCAAATGTGTATGTGTACCTACAGGCTGTTCGTGATCGTGGGGTGTGCAACATGATCCTTGGGTGTTTCTAGGATACATGCTTCATTCACTGATGAACATACCTGTTTACCATTGTCGGGCTTTCGTAAAGGTGGAGGGAGGAGCGTTGTGCTCCATTGTGTACGTGGTGAGGGAATTGGATGGAGAAGGATCTTGTGGCCTTAACGCATACGCTTTAGTAGAGCTTTCATGGATGGTCTTTGAAGCAGGTTCTGAACTAAAATTGGTTACTGATGGGGTTGTAGGCGTGAGCAAGGTGACGTTTGTGCCCTTAGTATAAACGGTAAAACAGACAACGTTTAAGCCAAAGCCTGAGTAAAAATCTAAAAGGAGAAGAGAAGTCTTGTGGCTCCGTTCAAAAAGACCACCTCTGCGCATTTTCGGAATTTAAATAACTCGTATGAGATCCTAGGCTGATACTATTTAGTGAAATTACAAACAAAAACTTCCACAAGACAATACACAGTTCAACTCTTAACAATGTAAACAACAAAGCTTTCACACTCACGGCAAATTAGTTAATAACCCACTAGGAGCCTGTGATGGCCTTGTCTTTGTTAGCTACTTTGTCACGCTAGACTGAGCAAACTTTGCGAAGCGCTCTTAATGTTGCTATGTGACGTCATACTAGCAGTGTCTCGACGGCGGCGCATCCAAGAGAATAACGGAGTCACCCCTCCCTCCTGGTTCAAAAAGATATCTAAAAGGCATACCTCAAAACGTCGGCAGTAGACGACTGCGAGTAGCTGATGACTGACCACGAAAATTAGTATTGTCTGTCACGCTGATGGTTAGAAGTCTAATTTGTTTTCCTTCAACTTAAACCCTTGAGGAACTGATAGTGTTGGAAATCCCAGTATAGCAACACTAGTCACTCGCGTAGTTTTCTTTTCCTATCTTTATTCTAGTCGTCACACGCTTCGTATCGCGTCGATCTTAGCCTATATCTTTTTTCAAAAACCACAATCCTAAAGACCACCCTTGGTTTTGCGTTGCGAGGTTACACGGCTGACGTCACTTTTCCGACACCCTCCCCCCATTTGTCTCGGAGAGCAAATGTCTGTCGAGAAATGAACCTTATCGCTTAGATTTTATGAACGAATCTATCATCTAGAATTTTCAATCGATTTCCTAATCACACTAATCATTGATCAATCAGTAGCCATAGTGGCAGATGTTCAGTTCATAAGTAGAATGTTCAAGCATCCGATCCGCTGTTGTCATCCAATCTGTTTCGGTTTGGTTCAAAGTTCAACCCCTTCCTCATCGTGAGCAAGATCCTCCATACGTAATCTTGCTGCGACGGCTGCATCACGGGAAGGCCTGAACGCTGGCGCTTCAATGCGCAACTCGGTCGTTGGAGGTCTGTCGCCGTCTCCCGGTCGATCACATGACAGTTCTAACGGATACAGCTGCTGTACTGCTCGCTCTAGATGTGAGGTCCCTGTGCGCAACTTTGCTCCCCGGACAACACCGTCACGCCCTTTGATTAGTTCCGTGACGATGCCGACCTTCCATTTCCCGCGATTCTTGTCGTCCGACTTGATCAGCACGACCTCGCCCACAATAGGATTTTCGGGCTTTCCAGGATTCTTTAGACGATGGCGTTCGCGCAGCCCCTTTAAGTACTCCCCCGTCCATCGCTTCCAGACGGCCTCCTTGCATCGTCTGAGATACTTTGCTCGCTTGCGTAATTCACCGTCTTCTATGCAGTGCGGTTCCAACTCGAGTAGTGCATTTGGTTGACCAAACAACAAGGAGTGGGGGGTCAAGATCGGTAGCTGCACATCGTCCTCCACGTAACTTAAAGGTCGGTTGTTGACTGCAACCTCTACGTCTAGTATAACCTCCTCTAACTCGGTCCACGTTAGGAACCCGTTTCCAATGGTCTTCTGTAGACTTCTCTTCACCAATCCAACCATTCTCTCGAACTGCCCTCCCCACCAGGGCGCTCTGCTCAGGTTGAATTGCCACTTGATTTCTTGACGGGAGAGGAATTCGTTGAGGCGTTCGTCAGTCATCACTTGTTTCAGCCACTTAGCTGCTGCCACGAAGGTACTCCCGTTGTCTGAGTAAATCTTTTCTGGCCGCCCACGTCGGGCGATAAACCGTTTCAGGCATCGAAGGAATTCTCCCGTTTCTAGGCTGGGTAGTAGCTCAAGGTAAATACCTCTGGTCAGGCTACAGGCGTAAAGCGTTATGTAAGCTTTGCCTTCATGATTCCTCCCCTTTCTATACTTCAGTGGTCCGGCGAAATCCACTCCGACTACTTGGAACGCATTTTCTCCTTCGGTACGATCCCTTGGTAGCTGTCCTGGTGGCGGAACCGCAAACGCTGTGGCGCGGAACCGCTTGCAGCCGTTACAAGCTTTAACGACTCTTTTTGCAAGGCGACGCAACCTGGGAACCCAGTACCTTTCACGAATCTTTGCCATTGTGAGGCTCACTCCCCCGTGGAGTGTCCTGATATGTGCGTCTGCCACCATCTTCTCCGCGAACGGATGAGACTCAGGCAAGTAAATGGGATAGTCTCCCTGAATCCGCCCTCGGCATTCCAGTAACCCGTCTGCGTTTTCTTGTAGGTTCAGCTGAACACGATGATCTTCGAACCGCTCGTCTCTCTTGAATTTCACCTGTGTTCGCTTTAGCCACAGGTGTCGCTGCATCTCGATCTCCTCTGTCGTGAGTGGTCCCTTAGATCTTCTCGTCTTTTCGCTCCGTAGGTTATGTATGAATCGAGTCACCCACGCACAAACCCTTAGGGTTTTCCATAAGTTGAACTTGATCAGCAAGGCGTCTAGGATGTCTGTCTTAGCTTGTGCTACAGCGAATACGTCCCGTATCACTTTTGCTTCCGCCTGACTGTCTGGTGTGGCCGTTGTCTTAATATCGGCTGGCCATCGCTCTCGGTCTAGTAGCCACTCAGGCCCTCTCCACCATAGCTCTTCATTTTCCACGCTTCCGCTCCGACTGCCAAGGTCAGCTGGGTTGTCCTTTGTACCCACATGACGCCAGTTTACTTCTGGGTGTTGCTGGATTTTCTGCACTCGATTGCTTACGAACTGCTTGTAACTCCCTGCTCCCTTGATCCAATGTAACGCAACGCTGCTGTCCAACCAGCAAACCATATTTCCAACTGGGAAACCCTCTAATGCTTCCTTAACGTTCACAATGAGATTGGTCGCCATGTGACCGGAGACCAACTCGAGGCGGGGGATGGTGAGGCCTTGCTTCGCCAGTCTAGCTTTGGCTGCTATCAGCCCAACACTATCACCGGATGGTTGAGATATGACACCGTACACTGCCGCAGAAACGCCTTGTCCGCTTGCGTCGCCGAAACAATGTAGCTCAATGTTGCTGATCTCTTCAAAGTGTTGAGGTATGGCTCTGGGTACGGAAATGCTCACTGGTAGCTGTGCTTCCCATCCTGACCACTTGGTTCCCAGTTGACCAGGAAGTTGAGCATCCCATCCGACTTTCAAATCACATGCGTCTCGGTACAGTAGTTTTCCACTCAATGTCATAGGCGCTGCGAGCCCTAACGGGTCATACACTCTTGCTATCTTCGCTAGTATCCCTCTCTTTGTCACTTGGGTGCGGTCAGTTGGGAAATTTATTTCAATGGTATCTTGTCGCTTGTTCCATGGAAGCCCGAGAATAGATCCCCCTCCTTCTTGAGGTGCACCCAACTGTTCTTTCGCGAATGTAGTATCTTCGCTAAGAGAATCACCAGGGGACTCCACTGCCGGAACATTTGAATGCCACTTGTGCAGCTTGAATGAGGCTTGGTTAAAGACATGGGTAACGCCTGCTTTGACTTCAAGGGCAGCTTTTACGGTGGGTCCCCCGCTGATAAGGTCATCGACGTATAGACTCTTCTCTATTTCCCTCACCAGGTCCGGATTCTCGGTACGACAGGCTTCCAGGTGTTGTTTGATAACTCCCCCAAGAAGAAAGGGCGATGGGGCCAAACCAAACAGAGCTCTCGTGAATCTCAGTATTTCCACTCGCCTGGATTGCAAGTCCGTGATCCAGTGGAATCTCATGGCATCCCTGTCTTCTTCCCATATTCGTACTTGTAAGAACGCTTGCTTGATATCACCTGTTAATGCGACTGGGTGGAAACGTGCACGGACAAGAACAGCCCAAAGCTTGTTCTGCAACGGAGGTCCCGCGTGAAGGCACTCGTTGAGAGAAGGAGCCTTCTCTGAAGCTCGGGCAGAGGCGTCGTACACGATTCGAAGTTTGGTACTCTCTGCAGCTTCTCTCACCACTGCTTTATGTGGAATATAGAACTCCCTTCCCACTGGTGGGCCTGACACTCGCTCCACTATTCCTTCGTTAAGCTGGTCTTTAATTATGGCGTCATACTTCTGGAGTATTCCGTTCTTCTCCAGTTTCCGAATGGTACTTTCCAATCGCTTCAAGCTTCCCGCTCTGTGGTTGGGCAGTGGAGGGTGGTTTCCCCTCCAGGGTAGCCCCGTCTCGTACCATCCCTCTGGCCCTCGTGTTAATTGTTCCTTGAATTCTTCATAAACATCTGCTTGATCTCCGCCTGGTGTGTCACGCAATCCTAGAACATCTAATTTGCATAGTTGTTCGTAATCTGCCGCTGTCGTCTGGGTCAAGAACATATTAGAGAGGTCAACTTCTTTACCTGGTGACATAATTGTCCATCCGAACTTTGTTAGCTCTGCAACAGGTTCGCCGGGACGTCCGATCTTTGTTATGGTTTCTGTCTTTATTTTCGCGTACTCGCTCGCACCCAGGATAATGTGGACTGGTAGCTCAGGCTTCTCGTCTCTGTCGTCCATGTATACCCCATCCAAGTAGGGATATTTCTCCAGTATCCCAGCATATCCTGGGTTGTCAAGTGATAGCAATGTACTACGGTCCACTCTGGTGACTTCCGTTTCCAATCGAAATTTTCCATCAAGGCTGCCAATCGTCACGCTATGAACTCCGATGACCTTGTTTGTTGACCCAAGCATCATCTCTATGCGCTTGAATTCTTCTCGTAGCGGTTTGTTTCCCAGGTGTTCAAGGATAGCTGACGACGCGTATGAGCTGCCTGCCCCAGTGTCTAGGAGTGCGCGGCATTTGATTCCATTTACTTCCACGACAACAACGGGATACACGACTCTCTCTGTTCCTTTGTTTTGTGCCGTCATAAATCTTCCCCTCGTTGTGTGACCGCTTGGTGGGCGATCACATATTGACGTGTGATGTCGGCGTTGACAGTTATGACACCCGCGGCTTCTACAGCTGTCTGCTCTGTGTTTGTCACTTGTACAATTAAAACACAACTGTTTTTGGCTCAGAATTCGTTTGCGGTCTCCGACCGCGACAACTTTGGTGCAATTAGCGGATGTGTGGTTCGTGTCATCGCAATAGACGCATCCGCGCATCTGTCCTCCATTTGCTTGTTGTTGGACCTGATAAGACCTTCCGCGTGGCGGCGGAACGCGGCATTCCAGTCGTTGCGATCATTCTTCCTCTTGGACACACTCCCACCATCGCTTTCTTCTCCTTCTGAATTTATGTCTCTCCAACCTTTAATTGCCTGAATCAGTTTAGCGAAATCCCAGTCTCGCCAATCTTCGTGTCCCCGGACTAAGTCTCCCTTTATTCCTTTCAGTTTGTCTAACACCGCCCTCACATTTCCGGAGACTTCACGTAACTTCCCGAGCGTCTCTAAGCTTTGTACATTGAACAGAAGCCTTTTGTAAAACTCATTAATTTCTTTTGGACTGGCGCTTGTGATGGTAGGCAAACCCATGATGTTGTTTACATATGCATTTACAATTTCTGACGTTTTCCCGTACTCCGATTTTAGGATGGCCTTCGCCCTTTCGTACCCCTCAAGATTGAACGGGAGTCCATCTATGTCCGCTCGTACCTTTGTAACAAGGAGTTCCTTTAGATAAGCGAACTTTGTCACTGCTGACAGATCCGTCGCGTCTATTTCCGCGGAAAATTTATTCCAAAAAGAGAGCCATTGTTCGAAGGACCCATCAAACTTCGTTATTGATAGCTTTGGCAACTTTGCGTGCATTCCGGTATCGCCTGATAACCCTTTCCCTTTTTTGCTACCTAATTCTTCTGATTTTTTTTCGTAATCAAGCTTCATTTCCCATTGTGCTTTTTCAAACGCGAGTTGCTCCTCTCTCTCCTTCGCGATTGTCGCTTTCTCGCTTTCTTTTTCGGCCATTTGCGATTTTTTCTTCACCTTCCCCAAACACTTCCCAAGGTATTCGATCTCCGCGTCTACACCCTCAATAACTTTGTCTATTTCATTGCTCCATGCACATACCTCGTCCATTTGCTCACCCTTTGCAATCTTCTTCTCTTCGATCTTTAATTTGACCTCGTCCGCTTCTTTTGCTAAACACACCAACCCGTCACGGTGTCTCCCAATAGTTGTCGCGTTTGCCTTGTCCACAATGCCCTTTCCCTTTTCTTGCTTGTACGCCAAAAGCTTGAGTTTTGCGTCCAAATTCTTCTGAAGTGCCTCCAGTTCCATGTCTCGATCTCAGTCCCGTCGGAGGTGCCAGTTAGTGTTGGAAATCCCAGTATAGCAACACTAGTCACTCGCGTAGTTTTCTTTTCCTATCTTTATTCTAGTCGTCACACGCTTCGTATCGCGTCGATCTTAGCCTATATCTTTTTTCAAAAACCACAATCCTAAAGACCACCCTTGGTTTTGCGTTGCGAGGTTACACGGCTGACGTCACTTTTCCGACAATAGAATGCTATTCCTGGAGCAACCATTCCTTAACTAGCACCTGACGATCTGATTTGAGTCACAACGCAAAGGAGAAGTGAAGTTTGCATTATTTTTATTTGCGTATTGTTACCAATCTAAAGAGGAGAGCAATATTATCCAATGAAGCTGGTGAAGCATAACTCTGTGTGTCAAAACAAGCCTGGTAAATTACAGCTTACGTGTTTACCGAGCATTGAGTCAGCGCCGAGGTGATCAATTATCATTGAATTTAGCTTTTTGACCAAAAAGGAACATAAAATACATACAGAGAGGCTAAATACACCAGCAATATGTTTTTCCAATTGAGCACGCGTACGGCAATAAATCCTGCAATCTACTTGGTTCTTAGAGCGGGCAAGATTTTGTCACGGGCAACGATAACACCTCGCCAAATCATCATGTGAATCTATTTTCGTGAATGAGCCGACAGTAATTGTCATTCTTCGGCTTTTTTTTTTCTTCAAATTAAAGTCAGAGAGGCTTTGCTTTCGTCCTTCTTACTGGGGGCTCAGCCAGTGCTCTAGTTTATAAGCATATTTCGTTGAACCCCAACCATTAGAGAGAGTCTGAGGAAATTGGAAGAAAAAAATCAGAATTGTCAACGTTTAGGGTCTAGGTTTAAAAGGGCAGATAACAATATGCAACTGATAAATTGCTTTCCAGCGGAAAAGTGATAGCAAAACGTACTGCACCATCCACCGGGTAGAGATTTATACACTGCGGGATCTCGTTATCCAACCCTCGAACAACTGTAGCCAGATCTTTCAAGTAGGTAGAGTATGACGGTAATTAAGTATGAACAACTGAGTTGATAACCTAAATTGGCCACTGTAAAGAGTTTAAAAGCTGACGTTTCGAGCGTTAGCCCTTTGTCAGACAGATTGGAGGAATTGTGGGTTGCATTTTTGTGTGTGGGTTAATATGCAGAAATGGAGCTACGCTATTGGTGGGAATATGGTGGAGAACAAGAATAAATTAGAGAAATATGTTTTCCTTCTTGTCACGAGCGTGGGACAAAGAAAAAATTCTGAGTCCCCACTGAGCCACAGAGACTCTACGGTGAGCGAGGTCTATTGCGAAGTTCATATAACATGCGTCGTGCATACTGCTAGGATTAGCTTTTCTTATTCTAAAACATGACGCTATCGACATTGCTGATCCTAGCAGTATATGAACTTCGCAATAGACCTCGCTCACCGCAAAGTCTCTGTGGCTCAGTGGTAGAGCATCGGAACGCGGAATCCGAAGGTCTGAGGTTCGATTCCTCATGGGGACTCAGAATGTTTTCTTTATCCCACGCTCGTGACAAGACGAAAAACATATTTCTCTATACCTTTACCGAGCTCAAAATTTACCAACTCTCTTATTCTAAAAGAATAAATTAGTTGAATGAAAAGCGCTCAATTGGCCACCGTATACGTAAAGAGATGAAAAGCTGACGTTTCGAGCGTTAGCCCCTCGTCAGAGCGATTGGAGGAGTTGTGGGTTGTAAGTGGGTTTATATGCATATATTTACAGTCAGTTATCAACTCAATTTGATAATACTAAATTACCCTTTCAAGTAACCGTTGATTTTTCCATGATGTTCATCCTTTGTTTCATATTTGGTCGAGTTAAGCTAACTGCTGACGGATTTGTGTCCTCACATTCTGTGTGTAAACTATAAAAAATTTGAGAAGGTGGTTTGATCATCAGCATGCTGACTCGAGCACAAACAGCGATAGGTCAGTTTGCACGTCATCACAAATGTGTAAAAAAGGCAGTTTACACATCATGTTTAGCATATTTTGCCTCATTCGTAAGCGTCAAGTTCATGCAAATACGGTACATTGTTCAATTGTCAGTTTTGCATGAATGTAACTGATGAGCATGTGATAGTCTTCATGAATTGGTAACAAGAAACTGTTTCGAACAATTCTGTTTGTGATTAACATCTCTTACTCCAGCTTCGCGATTGTCAGATTTTGTTGTTCACTCGTATAGTTACAAACTGTCTTAAACTCTACTCAGCCCTATGCTTTTATAAAAATGTATTCACAGATAAATTTTCCTCATTGATAGCTTTTGAAAATGTACATCATTTCACTAATTAAAATAAAACATCTGGGTAGGACTGATTTAGTCAAGCGCCTTCAGTTAAGTTTTTTTCCTGGCGTCGATTATCCAAGAATTATTTATGGGAGTTTTTGGAAGGATCACAGGTCTTGGATGTTATGAGGAAAAATTGACTTGATTCACGGAACTGAGGAGAGTATTTTTCGGAAGGGTGTATGTTTTTGTTTTTCGTTCGTTCTTTTCTTTTGCCTTCCGGAATTGTTTAGTTTTATTTCGCTTCCAGTTTTTCCTCTTTTGAAATCGAGCTTGAGTTCGAAACCCATTATAAATAACCACTTATGTGTATGAATTTATTGAAATTAAACCTTCTCACACAGTTAAAATTGCACTCGACTATGAATACCGAGGGAGTGTACTAAGCTGAGCAAAACTAAGCAAAACTAATTGACTGAAAATTATCAGGCCTTCCTCCGTGATCTTAAGTGACATTTTAATAAAAACCATTCTGATCCCTACGGTCTTTCTCTTTTCTGTCGGATATAGAAAGAAGACATAGCAGTCCTTACACATTGAAACAGGTTTGTCTTCCTAAAAGTGTTACCCGGGATCTTGTACATGAATGGCGTACTTTTGTAATCTAATGTTTTTCTTCTACATTTTAGAGCTATCGAAGGCAAGATCTCCAGTTGGCAAACTCACTCATACCATGCGTATACATCAACACAAGTTTTACCGCTGTTGTCTTCCTCTCCGCTGTCAATCCAATCCTGTCCGTACCATATCTGCATCTCTTGGTTGCTCGAGACAGACAAAGGATTGACGAGGTTGCGAAAAACCAGCTCAGTTGAATTATGGTGATATCCAGGAAGACTGTAAAAGTGTTCTTTGATACCAGAATGACCTTTCAAGTCTTCGGCAGGGGGCAGAATGGCCTTCTTATTGGCATCTGTGATGATTGTCATCAAATTTTCTCCAAATACTGCGTTGGTGCAGCCCCAGTAGGATGAATTAGTTTTATCGTTGCAGCGCACCGACCCTGACCTGTAAATAAGCTTCATTGTCTTCATTCGTCCACTCTTTGTCATGTTGAAGGAACCATACTGATTATCTTTGGCTCCAAAGCAGATGGCTTTTTTACCATTTATCTTTTGCCAGCTCTCTAAGATATAGCAATAGGATAGGTAGATAGTTTTGAAAGTTGATTCAACTGTATTAATAAAAAAAATAGCTAGTCAGCCAATGCATTTCGAATGGTAACTAACAGCCATTTGCAGGATAAATTCCAGTGATAAAAAAGTTAAAACATTGTCCTTCTCGGCGTCATGATCTGAACAGTTCCTTCAATCTATT